CGGACTAAAATTGAGGCCGCTTTTCATACAACGGTAAATTTCAGATATGCTTGAAATTTCAATATTTCGAAATTTAAGGACGCTAATTTACTTAAAATGTATACACCCCGGCTTATCATGTAGCGGTAGCTTTCGGAAAGGTGAAAATCATATATTTAATATTTGCGCCGGGTATTTAATGTTCGGCTCCGCCCGAACTTAGACTTTCTTACTTGTTAATATTTGTTATTTTATATTTTTGTTGACGGCTTTTGCGATTTTTTCATATAAAAAGTGCAATTTATAAAAACAGCGTTGTTTTTTCAGTGATAACGCAGTGGCCAAAAAAGGCCATCTTGTTCGATAACTTTCGAAAGCTCATTAGCTCTCTTTTTGGGAAAACTTTCCACTTTCCACTTTAGATCCGATTTCTGAATCAGGCTTCGCACATACATATGATTTGATGAATTTATTAAAGTTAATTCTATCACTACATCTTAAAATGATATTAGTTACTACAAACAAAATCTATTATTGCAACAAGTCTTTAATTTTAAGGAATAGGCAGCCAAAAATCAAAAATTTGCCGTTTTGAAATTTTGTAAGTAAGTGCTTTGTATTTCGCGGTATAAGAGATTTCGTCTACAAAAAAAAAATATATATGTAATTTGGTGCTCACCAAAAAGGTTAAAACTTTATCACCTCCAAAGAAATATGTGCGCCTACTTCGGTGATCTTTTTTATATTTCCTGAATTTGCTTACTTAATAAAATAACTGAGAAAGAAATGAAATTAAAACTAACAACAACAAGTTGTATGCACAATTTCATTTTTCACTTCTGGCTTACTATGACTTTTGGATACCGCTATGCTTATATGTACCCAAATTTTATAAAAGAATGTTGTATTTACTCTTAAGTAGACATACTTTTTACATGTTTGATAAAAATTTTATTGAAAAGTTACAAATAAAAATTTTGTTAAACTACCTTAGCTTTGCACATTGGACCACTGTGCGCCGGTGGTGTGTTTAGCGATGGCAGCACCAATAATCGCATCGTGATTTACTGCACTGGTTTTTGCTACACAGCACCCTTTCTCAACGCCGACTGTCAACTGCATGTGTACGAAAATGCGGTATATCCACTATACAAACATTGCATCAATATCAATCAGCCAACAATGACTTTTATAGAACTACAAGTTTACATACATACATATGTACATATGTATGTGCTCTCAAGTTCATTCGATCAGCAATTGCGATTCCCACTGAGTACCTTACATAGCGGAAAGCGTTACCTAGTCGACAGGAAATGTTGTATGAAGGAGATGCTGAATTAGCTGATCGAAAAGCATTTGGAGAAAGGATGCGCATAAACTAAAAGTAAATTATGTATGTATGTAGGTGGAGTGTTTTGAATATATGTAGCAGAAGCTGGCTCAAAGCTAGAATTACGAGCATAACTTAGGGCTGTTTTCACCATCTCTGGTTAACACTAATCCCCAGTTAAACATTGTTACCGACGTTACCGACCCAATGTGAAGTGAATGGAGTAAGTACCGTCGGTAACGATGTTTAACTGGGGATTAGTGTTAACCAGAGATGGTGAAAACGGCCCTTAGTGAAGTGAAACTTCTTTAGCTTCGGTTGGTTGGTTGGGAGTAAATTAGCAAATGCAACGGAAATTGCACACGGAAATAGTGCAACGGAAATTGCACACGGAAATGGTTGGGACGGAATCAAGTGCTTCTTAAATGTATTCACATGGTATTAATTTAAGAAAAACGTGCTAATAAAAAGTTAAAGAATAAGACTTAGATTAAGACCAATACAAGAATGAAAGTAGAGGTGAGTACGTAAATATATAAAAAAGGATAAAGGTAAAGGTAAAAATAAAAACAAAAACAAAGATATGTAAAGATAAATGCAAAAATGAAAATCAAGGTAAATTTGAACACTTTACTTATATGTATAATGGCAAAGGTGAAGGAGAATATGTAGATGAAGAAAATGATAAACATAAAAGTAAAAACCAAGATATATATAAAGAAAAAGATGAGGATGAGGATGAGGATACCGATAAATGTAAAGATGAAGATAAAGGAAGAAATTTTAAACTAAAAGTAATTATAAAAAAGATATAGACAGAGACACAGCGACTCAACCTTTGAAATATTTCGGGATTTTCGGTATTCTCGGGACTTATCGATAGATATTTATTATCGATTTTGTTATCGATAATGGTATCGATATTTTTACGATTTGTGAATCGATATTTTTAACGATTGGGTATCGATTTTGGTATTGATATTTTTATCGATGGTACACATGATGTGACATCATATGGCGAACATCACATAATATGACATCATTTGGCATGACATGACACCCTATCACATCACTTATCAATCTTATTATAATAAAGTACAAGTTTTAAGTAGCTAGGAATTACCGTTGATTTTTGGAATTTTTTTCACGCAGTCTTTTCAGTCAAAACACCTTCAACAATAAAAATTCTCAAAAATCAATGCGATTTTTTACTAACTCCGGGCTGGTTTTTTTTACAAGAATTTAGTGGGCTGCAAAAATGCATACTCAAAAAAATTCTAAAAAATCTGATTAAAAATTTGAAAATTTGCATGAATATTTGCTGAGTTTTCGCGAGTTTTGCACAAAGTTTAGGAATTATCTTTTTAAGTTAGATTAGGGCTCGATATAAAAATTTAAAGTATTTTCCATTTTTCGTTAAAATGTTAAAGCTTATTAAAAATCATCACATTATTAAGCTGGAATTTTATTATAGCACAACTGCATACTTATAAATTTAAAAAAAATTCTTAATGAAAAGTTTTTTTTTGTAAAATTTTCTTGAATTTTTCTACAAAGTTGGAAATTTGGACTTACATACATATATGGTTTTTGTTAGGTATCTAATGCGCTGGATTTAAAAAAAAAAAATAATAATAATAAACTCTGATTTATTTTGGAACGAATTCCCGCCATCCCTTGTCAAGTTTGGTTTGCAAACAAACCTGTTTCGGCGTTTTGCCATCTTCAGTGTCATTTTGAAGAAGGCACAACGCCGAAACCGGTTTGTCTGCAAAACCAAACTTGGCAAGGAATGCCGGAAATTCGTTCCGAAATAAATCTTAATACCCAGTCGGAAAAATCAAACAACACCATTATAAAACAAATAAACATTAATTAAACAAAGGAAAAATAGTGAAAACTGGGCCAAGTATCGTACCCCTATTATCGTTCACATGACTGTAGATCTACAGTATCGGTCATATCCATAGCACGCCATTTCAAAGTGATATTGTGTGCAACCTATGTTTGTTTATTTATTTTTGAGAATTTTCAATTAAAATACAGTTCCTTCTCTAACAAACCCCATATAAACCCAAGTTTAACAATTTGTAGAAAACTTCAAAAAAGTCCAACAAATTTTCACCTATATTTCAAACTTTTTTCTCGGAAGTGTCTGAATTTTTCTGAATACACAGTTTTATAGCCCAATCAATTTTAGTCTAATAATGTGCAAGTTACAAGTGACTGAAGGTTACCGTTGATTTTTTAGAATTTTTTTCGCCAAAGGTGTTACGGTTTTCTTCCATATACAAATAAATTGAGTTTATTCATTATATGGAAGCCAATGCGACAAAAAAAAATCTAAAAAATTAACCGTAATTCGTAGTCACTTGAAATTTGCACATTATCAGACTAAAATTGCAGTGGCTAAAAAACTGTGTACTCAAAAAAATTCTTACACTTCCGAGAAAAAAGTTTGAAATTTAGGTGAAAATTTGTTGCACTTTTGTGTAGTTTTCTACAAATTGTTACACTTGGGTTTATATGGGGTTTGTCTGAGAATGAACTGTATTTTAATTGAAAATTCTTAAAAATAAATAAATAAACATAAGTGGCACACAATATCACTTTGAAATGGCGTGCTATAGATATGACCGATACTGTATATGTATGTACGTTGGTGAGTCTATTTTTTTAAGTCCGATCCGATAATAAAATATCATTTTCGATAACGATATTAGAAGTAATCGGCTTTCTATCAGAAGTTATCGATAACACAGGTCCACAAAAAAAAAATCATTGAAAGGTTCCTTTGACCAAATCTAGTCTATGACATGTTTTTGGGGTCGCTGAACACGAATTTGAAGTCCGTTTTGCTCCATCACGTCTAGATTTTTTCCTAACCGCAAAAAACACCTCGGATTTTCTCGTAAACGGATTGTCACGTAAAATCCGAGACGTTTTTTGAGGTTAGAAAAAAATCCAGACGTGATGGAGCAAAAAGGAACCTTTCATCGATTTTTTTATATATGTAAATATACATATCGACGTGTTTATCGGTGCATGTAGGAATATAATTATCGATATGTATTTATCGACACCCTTAACACATGTCTTAATGTTAGCATGATTACAGCGAAAAACAAATGCCTTAAAGTCAAAATACAAACTAGAGTAGGTGAAACTGACCAATTTTCTGGAGTTTTCATCAAAATATCACTTCGCTTTGGAAAAAATACACAAGCTTTAAGTGCGATATCTCGAAAGAGAAATAAATGACTTCGTCGCTTTTTGCTGGACTATAAGGGACGTATGCAAAATTAACTGTGGGAATACGTACATGGTGCATATATGTATGTATGTATGTATCTATATGCGTCCGTATACACTTGCAAATTTCTAGCTGATTATTATAGTATGTAAATCGTTTGCTTGTCACCTTAGAAGAATGCGACTCGCCACAAATGCAGGCTGCATATGTACATACGGCTGCATATGTACATATGAACTACACATTTACATACAGCAAATTTTTACATGTACACATTTACTAAAATATATTTACAATCCCACTCACTCACTCACGAAGAGTTTCATATCAGAGTCAATTATTTCATATGAGGGTCGATTCATGAACGTTGGTCGCGTTATTGATTGACAACAAACGCCAACGGCACATCACACAAATAAAACTGTAAGCGATCTCGCGCGGTAGATCAGTTGCAGCGTAAACAAGCAACGAAGTCGATCTTATAAAAAAAAGTGTAAACAAATTTTAAAATATTTTCAATATCTTTGTAGAGTTAAAATACGTAATTGATTTACTTAAAACCACAAAACCAAAACAAAAATCAGAAATGAGCGCGAAAAGTCGTTGCTGTGTGGTTGGTGCCGGGGCAGCAGGCCTATGCGCGCTCAAATATGCTCGCGAATATGGCATGGATACTGTGGCGTATGAGAAATGTAATGAAATCGGCGGTACCTGGGTATATACAGAACAAGGGGTGAATGAATGTGCTGCGGCGGCGGAAGAAGTGCACAGCAGTATGTACGCGGGACTGCGGTAACTAATAACCAAATTCACTGCCTTTTGAAACTTAATTATTTTTTGCATTAACAGCACAAATCTGCCAAAGGAGGTAATGGATTTTCCTGATTTTAAATATCCTGCTACCATGCGCGAATCCTACATATTGGCTAGTGATGTATTGAAATACTTTCAAGCGTACGCTCAACATTTTAATTTACTGCCCCACATCAGGTTGCAACAGGAAGTGATACGTGTGCGGCCATTACACGGCCAATGGGAGGTTTGATATCAATTGAAAACAAATCTTATAAATTCTTTGGCATCTCTGCATATCCCGCTAGGTTTTAACGCTCGACTTAAATAGTGGCATCTACGCAAAAGAACAGTTCGATTACATTTTCATTTGCAATGGCCGATATGCTACGCCTTGTTATCCCAAAACTGCGGGCATCGAACTATATAAAGGCCATAAAATGCATAGCCATGTCTTTCGCAAGGCGGATACATTCAAAGGTTAGTTGCAATGCAGTATGACTGTCATTTTCGCACTCATTTATATTTTATGTATATATCGAGCCCTAACCGCCAAAATAACGTAAGTAACATTTTTTTCAAAATTTTCTTTTTGATGCAGAATTGCATCTAGATGCTCTAGGGATATTTCTGCAACAAAAAGAAAATTTTGAAAAAAATGTCGCTTAGGTTATTTTGGCGGTTAGCGATCGATATGTACATATGTATATATTAACTTGTACTTTGTACTTTTACTTTTTTTGCTTCATTAAATATTTTAATTATGTATTTTGTTTTTGATACGAATGAACAATGCCGAAAGACATAAGGCAGCCTCAAATCGGTTTGAGCTCAAGTCAAAATCCAGAACTGTTATCTCTAAGTCAAAGCTAATAAGTGCTAATTAAGTAAAAATAAAGGAAAGGGAGATAAAAATAAATACATACATAAATGTACATACATATAAATCATATGATGCCGATGATAGGCGAAGTGGGGATCCGGTTAGTTTCCATAGAAAATAAAACCAAATTATATGTATTCAAAACACAGATTATCAAGACAAAATAGCATAGGTATTGCTGCTGAAATAATAAATAGGCCGCCTAGCAAAATAAACAACAGCCAGATGTTATCGACAGAAAGAAGTCAATGGGCTCTTGAGATGGCGAGATAGTAGGTATGTTCGTTGAGTGCACTAGACAACCCTAGTGTAGGAAAAATCGTTCGATGTCTTACCTTTAGCTGAAGTTGTTCTGCACTGCACTATTATACACTTTTTTGTCCACACTGGTGTACTGGTGTTTCTTAACGTACAAACTGAAAAAGTAAAGTTCGCGATGTGCAGCAATTCGTTAGTTTTGAATTTGTTCTACATTGGCATCGATAACAATAATGAAATATCGATTAAAATTTCAAAAGAGATACATATAAAGATAGCAATACTAAACACATAAGGTATATCGATATAATAGAAAAATCGACGAAATATACAGTCAGCGTAAAAAATATACATACATACCAACACGTTATGACGATTTAATTTATTAATGTTTTCCATCCGAAATGTTTCTCTTTTTTTTATAAAAATACATATATGTATGTAGTTCAGTCAATAGAACTCGGGGAAAACGAAGGTACGCAACACCCTTCTAAAATTTATTGCCCAACAAAACGGCATATTATTCCAAGGCATCGAATTGAAAAATGTTATATTTCGATGAAAATTTCTTGCCATTTTCCTCCGAGTTCTGTATAAAGGACTGTCGGCAGGTCTAAAAAAAAACGAACAATTCATATAAAATGGCGCACAGGAATGGAAATATAATTTGTTTCTAGCAAAATTTCTTAAATCAGTATGCAGCTCTCAAGAAAAACATGCTCGGGTATTTATTTCTTCCCGAAAATTTACAGCAACAGCAGAGTAATTTTTCTAGCAACAGAAATAACGAAAAATATTTCCTGCGATTTTTCTTAAGAACTGCAGACGGGCCTAAGAAATAAGTCTCGTGGTTTTTGCTGTTGCATGAACTACATACATATATTATTATAAAAGAATAACAAAAATTTGATATGGAAAACATAAATAAATAAAATCGTCAAAACGTCATGGTTTGCATACTTATGACGCCGGCTGTATTTCAATATTTTTACATCAAATAAGCATCAATTTGCTTCTACAGATTCTGTTAAAAAAGCTGTGCTAAGACAGAAATGACAGGTGGAGACCCCGAATTTCCACTGTTAAACCATATCTGTCTTGCCGAATTGTTTGCCATCGCTCTCTTAACATCAGCTGTCATTTCATAGTTTGACAATTCAGTTTTCATTTTGCCGCGCCATCTACATTGGGAGCAGATCGATCTGATTGGCTTGATAAAATTTTTAAATTGATATGTTAAGACAGCAAGTTGCCCACATGAGAAAACGGGACAAAGTTAAAACAGAAATTTATACATATGTTAAGACACATTTAGTAGAAAATGGAGACGTGGGGTTAGATTTATTTCTCTCCTTCATCCACAGATGCAACTGTACTCATGGTAGGTGCCGGCCGCAGTGGCATGGACATCACCCATCACATTTATCCTTACGCCAAACGCGTTTACCTTAGTCATCATTTGCAAGAGAAGCCACCCATCACAGATTTCATGCCAAATGTTGTTCAAAAGCCAGTTGTGGTACGATACACTGAAAATGGCGCCATTTTCAAAGATGGCACTCAAGCTAATTTCGCCCACATCATCTTCTGCACGGGCTATAGTTTAACAATTCCCTTCCTAAGCGCCGATTGTAATCTACATGTGCATGACAATTTCGTATATCCGCTCTATAAGCACTGCATCAACATTAATCATCCCACGATGTGCTTCATCGGATTACCAATTTATGCCTATCCGATACAACTTTTCGATATGCAGATGCGTTTTGTGATGCAGTACTACAGCAGAAAATTGCAGCTGCCCAGCGCAGAGGATATGCTAGTCGATACGGAGCATGATTTGGAAGAGCGGAGAGCACGCGGATTGCCGCGTAGAAAGGCTCATGTGGTGGGCGAACGACAGGTGGGTGACAGGGTATAGTTTCAATAGTGTCGGTATTTAAAATCAATTTCCTTATTTGTTTCAAGTTCGATTACTATGATGAACTGGCGGCACTGACTGGCATCGACAACGTCAGACCAGTTATAAAGAAGCTCTCGAAAAGTTGTGGCGGCAAGTTTCTCTACGACTTACAAAATTATCGTAAAACAGCTTTTAAGGTTATAGATGACCACAGCTTCGTGCAATTCAAACTGGGAGAAGTATGAAGGAGAAAGGAAGGTTGGCTACAGCGATTGTACTGTAGGCAGTCTAATTAATGGATGATATTTTATAAACTTAGGTTAAGCAAGTTTACAATGAAAAAAAACTAATTTTAGTGCTTATTTGTAAATTTTGAAGTTTCTTTTTTTTACAATAAAACAAAATAACTGTGCAGAAGAAACAGCAAAACCTCTATGAGACAGACTTGAATAAGGCGGAAAATACTACAATGAGTCGTTGTAAGTAAAAATAAAACGAGTTCGACTGACCTCGGTTTTGTTTTTGTACGAATTGAAAATTAAGGCGAATTGTTTTAAAAGTTCGTTACAACCAGCTGTGTTGTAGTTTTCGCCTACTATTGCGTTTTGTGATTTAAAAAATACTAGGTTTCCAATCTTTATAATTTCCCCACAGCAACCGACTTGAAAATTTGGCAAGTCACATATTAACTAATTTTGCTGAAAAGTCGCATTGCCAACATATAAGTACAACAAAATCACAGCGCAGCTGGCGTATGCAGGTGATATCGACATCGTCAGCCTGAGAACCAGGCTCATACTCATATCTCTCTCATCATTCCCGTCCTTTTGATATCGCACAGATCATAGACGATGTCGAACAAAGATGAGAAGGCTTTGGGTGCTTTTAGGAGAACTGTGCCACACCAGAGCTATAACCGCCTTCGCGTGGCCCCTATTACTGAAAAAGATGCGATGACAAACTACTAATGACTACTGTTTAATGTTATGGGCATTAAAGTAGTCCAAAAATGTATGAGCAAAAATAAAGTCGGATTTTTAAAAAAACTTTTCGTAGAAATAGTGTAGAATTCTGGAAAATCAATATTTTTCGATCGGAAAACTTTGATTATTTTCAGGAGATTCCCAGTAATAATACCCAATTGTTTCTTTAACCCTCTTTTCATGGTAACTATATTTTATAGGTCTTCCAAAACCCCCAGAAAATGCAATGGGGGGACCAATAAAAAATCTTTAATATTAAAAAATGGTTAAATAAACAATTGGATATTAATATTGGAAGTCTCCTGAAAAGAACCACACTTTTCCGACCGAAATATTGATTTTCAAGAATTTCATAACATTCCCCCCATATAAAATACATGGAAAACTTTGAGCGCTGTGAGCACTCCCTAAATATTTTTTGATTTCAAAATAAAAAATACGGGTATATTTTTTCGGTTCAGAACAATCCTAGGAGCTGGCGGCATTAAAATTCCGACTTTTTTGTTTTTGGACCACTCTAATGGACATAGTCAAGCGCATAAAAATACAACGACTGTGCTGGCTTGACAATGTTGTACGCATGGATGACAACGTTCCGGTGAAAACATGCTTCGTCTCGGCAGCCATGGGTGGGCAACGAAAGAAAGGCCGCCCACGAACAAAATGGAAGAACCAAGTGTAGGAGGACCTGTCTGCACTCGAGAAGAGAGGTAATTAGAGAAGCTTTTTGACCTCGGCCCAAACCGACAAACGATTGTTGCGTAGTATAATATTTTGGCGCCTACACTTTTGCTAAGTACTTGGCCGAGGTGGCTGGTTTGGCTGAGTGGTAGCGTACTACCATACCGTAGGACCTCGGCTCGATCCCTGGCCCAAGCAACATCTATTAGACTATCAGCCTCTGCCAATAGGCTGGCCCGTTCCCATCTCTAGTAGACGAGTAATACTGTGACATTTCCATTTGTTCAAGTATCACTGTATTAGACAACTTGGAAATTATCTTTTAAATCCCATAAGTACATACTGCTTTTGTGTGAATTTATTTATTTTTAAATAATGTAGTAATGATAAGCGGCGACGCACATATACGGTGGGTGTTGACACTTCCCTGGTTGCACTGTAGGCAAAGTCTCAAGTTATGAAATGACAAAAAAGCTTTCGTATTTTGTTTTTCTATGTCATCTTAATCTTCCGAGATATGGTCAATTTTATGTGAAAAGAAATTAAACTTTAACAGGGAAAAAATAAAAATAACCGATTTTCTATTCTTCTACTAAGGAAGAAAAACTATGGTTAAATAAAAAAAGTTGTGAATGGTTAAATGAATATTATTTTTTTTTGTATGAAATATGAACAGCAAAGAATGTTGCTATACGAATGCTATTTTTCCCTGTTAAAGTTTTAATTTTTTTACCTTTTTTTCGCCTGCGAGTAACATAAGTTAAACTGTTGCCAGTCAGATGTACACAGTTGCCGTTATAGAAGAAATAGTGACATCTTATTTGCTAAAATTGTTGTGTTTTTCGTGTTGATCGATGATACATTCTCCCAGGTAGAGAATGTTTTTCCCAGCATTGACGTCTCGATTCCAGCAAGTACGGCAGTTTGGACAAAACTGGTACCTGTGTGGCGATTTGGCCGTCAGGTTTACGTTGTAACATTTTGCGCAAAGTTTGGTTGTTCTGAATTCATTAACCATCAGAATATCTGCATGCCGTTGTTTTAGTGCTGCGATTAGTAACCGATTTGGTGTACGCCTATATCCGCGTATTGGCGAGTTCGTTGCAATCTCTGTTGAACCGATGCAGATAAAATAAATAAATTTTTAACCAACTTCCCGAAGAGCTAGAGACTTGAAACTTCAAACTTACTTCAAACCCGATGATAATACAATATGAAAGATTGAGATGAATTAGTCCGTTAGGTGGCGCAGGGGTCGAGATATTTATTTTCGTTTACAATACTAACTCAAAATAAAAATCGTTTGGGAAAATAAACTGATCTAGAAAAAACTAAGTTTACGTGTATCGGCATTTTTTGTGTCATTTAAGCGGTCCTGCACTGTTATCTGGTTACAAGTTTTTATTCTATACTGTATATTATTGTTATAAACTGAATAAAAAATATAAACACAACCAGATAACCTGATAATCAGATAGGTGTGAACAGCCATACTAATTAAAATTTAACGAACTTCTTAGACTAGTTTTATAGCTAAGAGAAAGAAACGTAATGTATTTAAGAGAGTATTTATTAACACATTTATCTACACGAAATGCCTGTCCCCAACCAGCGCTAATGCTCGTAAATATGCCTGGATTTGTGTACATGTGTACGTAAATATTATGCAGCTTATCTTCAATCACCTTCCAAACAAAACGCAAACGCTGAGCGAGAAAAATAAAATAACAGCAAGAGCGTGATCAACAAAAATTTCAGTCTAGCATTTGAAGACGACAAGTGCTGTAGCTCAGAGAGATCGTTGAGTGGGTTGATAGATATTACTTATCTACACATGTACATATGTACATAGTTGGAAGATATTACGCACGATCAATTTAGTAAAAATTTACTTTTTCAAAAGTAAACTAAATATTCCATGAAAATGACGTCCAAGCGGAGAGTATGTATTGTGGGAGCCGGAATGGCTGGACTCACCGCGCTGCAGAATGCATTGCAGCACGATTTTGAGGCAGTGGCGTACGAACGGCATTCAGCAGTCGGTGGCACTTGGAATTATATGGAACGAAAGGAGGACGAGAGTGAAGAGGATGTACACAGTAGCATGTATCGTGACTTGCAGTGAGTAAATGAAAATAGTGAAGTTATCTAGCGTAATATATTCCTACCCGGTTTATTTTTAGCACAAATTTGGGTTTTCCAGATTACGATTACGACACAAGCATTGAAGAGTCTTTCATCAAATCTGAGTTGGTATTGAAATATTTAGAGGATTATGCAAAGCATTTTAATTTAACACCATATATCAACTTGGAACATGAGATAGTACGTGTGCGACCACGTAACGAGGGTTGGGAGGTGTGTAGACTGAAAGACTAGCATTTTAACGCTATTCATTTATGCTCATTTCTCTTAAAAAAAGAAATTAATTTCTGAATACCTTTAACACAAATTAACGAATCGCATTTTTACGGTAACAATATGTATTTTTGTTAACCGCCCTTTTTCCAACAGGTTATTGTACACAATCTCAAGAACGATAAGTATTTTGTAGCGCACTTCGATTATGTGTTTGTTTGCAATGGACATTTCACTACACCCATGTATCCCGATACCGACGGTCTGGATAAGTATAGAGGTGAACGCCTACACAGTCATCTATATCGAAGCCCCGAAGTTTTAAAAGGTAACCTCAGACTTAATTCTTTTCCAGCAACATAACGTGTATATGCCTGCTCTTATCCACCCAAGGTCACACCGTTCTGGTAGTTGGTGGAGGGCCAAGTGGTGTTGATATCGCCCACCATATCTACAAACACGTTGAGCACATATTTCTTAGTCATCACCTGGAGGCCGCACCACACACCGATTTTATGTCGAACGTCGCAGAAGCCAGATATACAGCGTTTCACCGAAAATGGCGCTATTTTCAAAGACGGCAGCGCAGCTTCTTTCTCTTATGTGATTTTTTGCACAGGATATAAATACACCTTCCCCTTCTTGAGTGTGGACTGTGGCCTAAACGTTGATGTCAATTGGGTGCATCCGCTCTACAAACACTGTTTAAGCATTAATAAGCCAACGATGGCCGTCATTGGTCTACCACATCAAATCTGTCCAGCTCAACTTTTCGATTTACAAGTGCGTTTTGCGCTTGCTTTCTTTACGGGGCGCAAGCAATTGCCTAGTCGCGCTGAGATGCTGGCTGAAACGGAGGCGGATATGGAGCAGCGTTGGGCGAGTGGAGTATCGAAACGGGTAGCACACAAAATGGGACCGAAACAGGTTAGTAA